TCAGCAAGAAAACTTGGTGCTACTTTGTGGGAAATTAATGGTGTTCTTACACCTAATAAAAAGGAAGAGGTGAATTTTGATGAAGTGGAAAGGGTTGCTAAGTCATCATCCAAATTTGATTCTGTTGCTTTCCAATTATCTCATAGTCCTGTTTCTGAGGTGGGGTTCTAATTTTCTTGAAAAAAATTGGCTTCTTTTTTTCTTAGTCATTCCAGGGGACAAATTTATGTGTATGAGTTTTTGCTAATGTTGTTTATAAAATTGATGGTGAATTTTGGCAGAGAATGGAGAGATCTAAAGTGGGAAGTCATAGAAGAAGAACTTCAATTGGTTCTCAGAAACTTTTGCAGACTGATTTCACTCTCCAAAATGGTTGCTTAATTGAGGTACCATTTTCCTATTATTAGTATTATTTAATGAAATAATCTATTTTAGTTGGATACACTGTTTCTGACTTATTCTATGGCAGTAACTTAAAAATATTTTGGATAATTCTACTCTTGTGTTCTTTTCTTTTTCTTGGAGGGGTTGTTGCTGTTATTGGCTGCTGCAACTAACTGAGATTAAGTTCTAGTCATGTTACTATATTTACTTGAGGTCTATTAGTTTTGTTAGCGTTTCTGAGCCGATGGTCTATCGAAAACAGTTTTTCTATTCTCGTAGGATAGGAGTAAGGTCTATGACATAATACCCTCCCCAGATCTCACTTGTGAGATTTCATTGGGTTTGTTGTTGTTATAGTTGTAGTTTTGTCATTCGGCTTTAGTTTTTTTTTTTTTTTTTACTTTTTATAATATTGGACAGAGATGAACTTAAATGAAGCAACACACACTCCAGGATCCACATAGTCAAATCCTAACTTGTTTAGAGTTGAGGCATAATAATTGTTGTTTGTTATCATAGATTTTTCTGAAAGTAAAAACAAAACAGTGTCTGATCCTTACCCTACTCTTTGAAATAGCAAGGTAAGAAGAGCCATTCAAAGTTTTATCATAATGAATGACATAAATGGCACTTGGATATGTCCCTTGGCTTCTTCAAAGTTTTATTTTAGGAAATGGACAAATGTTTCATTATCCTTGAAAGGGACCAATAATGCAAGTTGGTCCTGTTTCAGGTACCATCAGATTCAACATGTCATATGTTTGTTTTCCAACATTGAATTGATATAGTAGGTTGTAAACTTTGTTTGTCATAGGCTACTTGTTTTCTACATCTGCAAAATGGTACTAATATATAGTCACAAAAATATTCTTGTTTTAGGCTAACCTAAGTTTTTGCCCTCCATTTTCTGGTGCTTTTCTTTAGCTACTCTGCTTCAAATATTTACTTTTTCTAGTCGGTATACGTAGATTACATATTGATTATACACAGTTATACATATATTATACATCTGCCGGCTATGCAGGTTGATCAGACACAACAAAATCATGCACAGACAGTAAACAAACATCGGTTAAAGGATGTAAGGAATGGCCTCTCCGCGTCTAAGGAACTGCTGAAAGTTTTGAATCGCGTATGGGGACTTACTGAGCATCAATCAACGTGCTTATCTCTTTTCTCGGCTATAAAAGCTGAGCTTGATCGTGCGTGTATTCAGGTGACTAAATTGATTCACGAACAAAGATATAACAACGGCGAAGTTGATGTCCTTTTGAAGCAATTTGAAGAAGAAAAGGCGGCTTGGAAGTTAAAAGAGCAAGACAAGATTCACACTGCCATTACATCTATAGCAAAGGAGCTCAAGATAGAGAAGAAGCTGAGGAAGCAAACCGAGAGAATAAACAAGAAGCTCGGTAAGGAGTTGGCTGATACGAAAATTTGTCTGTCAAAGGCTGTCAAAGAGCTTGAAGGCGAAAAGAGGGCACGAGAGATATTGGAGCAAGTATGCGATGAATTAGCTAGAGGTATTGGAGAAGATAGAGCTGAGGTAGAAGAATTGAAGAGACAATCAGCTAAAGTTTGCGAGGAAGTTGAGAAGGAAAGGGAAATGCTTCAACTAGCTGACGTTTTACGCGAGGAAAGAGTTCAAATGAAGCTATCAGAAGCAAAGTATCAATTCGAAGAGAAAAATGCAGTTGTCGATAAGCTAAGGAATGAGCTTGAGGCTTACTTGAGATCCAAAAAGGGACAAGAACAAGGTGGTGATGACTCTCCTAATTATGAAAGAATCAAGCAACTCGAAAAACATTTGAGAGAAACACTTCCAACCACATGTTATTACCAAGATAAAGAGAAGGGAAATGGGAAAGTAGTAAATAAAGAAGATGATGATGATGATTCAGCTGATAGTGATCTACATTCAATTGAATTAAACATGGATGATAACACGAAAAGCTATCAATGGGGAAGTACCCTTGAGAATGATCCTAAGAGATTTTCGGTTTCTGACAAAAGTAAAGGGAGGAAGTCCATTTCAGAGAAATTTCCAAGACAAAGTATTTCCATAGAGAGGGAAACTTCAGATGGCATAGAATGGGAATTCACCGCGGGAGGGAAAGAGAACGTGGACACGTTCGAGCAGGAGAGGTTCAACTTTCTTGAAAACGGAGGAATTTTCGAGTTCTCTTCTCAGGTTTGGAAAAAAGATTGTGAAGATGAGATAGAGAGGTACAAAATGATCAAGGATCTTCGCGACCATATCGTGTCTTCTGCTTCGAGGAAAACACCAACTCAATGCTTTTCGAGTCCAACTAAGAATTGGAGCCAACAGAATATGCCTTCTAATGATGCTGAAAGGGTGATCAATGAGGCTTTTGCTGTCTTACAAGGAGCAGATTGAAGAAACAAATCACTCTCCTTCTGCAATTTGATACTACATTGTTTACATGAAAATATTTTCTGCTGTTTTTGTCTCAAACTATAGCTAAACATCCAATCTCATTACAATTTTGTCGTTTGCCCCTTTGCATGACATAAAACTGTACAAATTTTTGCTACTCTTCTTTTGATTATAGAGATGCCATAAGTATATTACTATCTTTTTTTGAATTGGATAAGTATATTACTATCTTGTGAACAATTTTCATCTTTAATACTATGACTTTTTCATCTTTAGTCTCTTTTATCAACATGCTCATTTATCCTCTTGGTTTTGAGTTAGATATCTATATCTTCTTCTTCTTTTTTTTTTTGTAGTTGTTCCAAAGTTTTGGTTTAGTGATAAGAGCATAACATCTATGTTGCTCGAACTCTACAAATATGTTGCCGAAATTGTGTCGGATGCTCCAAAATGTATACTGTTGAAGGATCTGACATGTATGTAGCCGGCAGCATTTAAAGAGTCTGAGCAACGTAGCCAACGCGTGATGTGTAGGGTGAGTGTATGTCATGTCTTCGAATCCTGCTATGAACAAAAGCCTAGTGTAGAAGCCCGACTATGGTTTCGGCTAAACCAGTAACTTTTGCTTTAATAATGCATTATTCATAAATTTATTGAATTTATACACATACTAAATTTAGAACTTATAGTCGTCATACTAAGATTCGGAACCCATAAAGTTAAACTTCGGGCTCGACCTCTGCCTGTTATGCTAGCCCCATTTGAGCCATCCGCCGTTAGCCCTCAAGAATTTCTCGCTATTAAAATAATTATTTATTTGGGTGTTGNATTTTTGAAGTTTTGTGAGTCAAATAATAAAGGTTTTCATATTTACCCATACTATTTTAACACAATTTAAAAAAATAAAATTAAAAGGTTTTCATGTATTCACACTATTTGAAGGCGATTTCAAACCTAAAAGTTTAATATTCTAAAGTAATTTTAAAAACTATAGTTTGTTAAACCTTAAAAGTTAATTTAAGTGATGATCTTTGTTCATATGTTCTAGGAGGTTATCTCTTATGTACTTAATTGATGTGAAAATTTGATTTATATGGTTTTAACTCCATTCTTCCATGATAAGTTTTCAACAATCTATAAATTGTCTTAAAATATTTTATATTATTTCTTTATAAAAATTAACATATGATAAATCTATAGAAAAAATAAAAACATTTCTCGTATATCCTTAATAAGAAAAAAATTAAAATCCCTATAATTTATATAGACTTCTATCAGATATTTATTATCTTATCACCAGTAACATCATTTTAAACGAGTTATAATAAAATATAATTTGAACTACTATATTGAATTACTACAATTTATATCATGTTAATACTTGTTTAATGCAGTTGGTTCTCTTTGTTTGAAGTAGTAAGTTGCCTCTTTAGGGATGCAAGTGAAGTTCTCTTTGTTGACTGTACTAAAAATTTCTTTTGATTTTGTTGTATACAAGACATAAAGTAAAATCATAAAAAAAAAAATTCAACTTTTGTCGTATTGTAAAGGATGATGTTGTTCGTTTTAACTTTCGTTAGGTAACTGATTGTTCTTACTATTGAAACACTTGGAAGACCAAATTGGATGTATTCAAAAGTAGTTTACAAATAGATCGATAAGTTTTTTATTGTAGAAAAATTGTTAATATAAATTACACTTGTACCTTTAATGTATTATCTTGTTAAAAATTCAAATATAGTGGGGAAATAATACCATTCAATCAATTTTACAATTTAATGTTTATATTTGACATTGATGTTAAAATGAGTATTATAGCACATAGTTTTTTTATGTTAATAATTGGAGCAACTTAAGCAGGTTATAATTTATAGTTTAATATTTTGTAAATTATTAAAATAAATTAATTGTAAATTGTGATCCCCAATATCATTCTCTATCAGTTATTAAATGGATATAACAATGATCGATTTATTTATCAAAAAATTAATTGAGCACCGACAAACAACAATATTAAGATTACAATGTTGGCCCGTATACGAGCCTAGAATTATAGATTGGATACCTAAGCCAATCAGATAATTAGAAAGCGAAACAATGCAGACAAAGAAGATAAATTTGGCTAAAATTGATTGCACTAAAGGAGCCAATCTTTCCTATATCGTGATAAAGTAACAAAAAATATTGAAGTAGACTATGTGCATATGGTATTTGATGATATGCCTTGTCCATCTTATATTATTGTGTGCTTACTCATTCCTTTGAGCATTTGCTTTCACTATTCTGTTTCTCTTTTGACGAAGTTCTTCTTTTTTTATGAGCTTCTTTATTTACGCTTTTCTACGTCGAATCTAAAAAATGATGAATTTTTTTATTGAAATACTTTGTATATTTACTTTTCATCGTTATTGTTGTCTTTGAGACAAATGTTTTCATGTTAGTGATTTAAAATTTCTTCGGTCTCTTTGAAAGTGTACGTGGAAGGTGATGCCTCCACTAATATCTACCTCCTAACTGATGTTTGATAGGATGGAACAAGAGAAAGCTCCAAGAAAGACACCAAACCCAGCCTATGGTCGTTTGTTCACATAAACGTATTATAAAGAGGAAGTTGGAAATATGAGCGTCAAAGAGAAGTAATCGACAAAAAGATACTCTTTCAAGTAAGTCACGATGAACTTTAAAACAATTCTTTGTTCGTGAAAGCAAAAGGGGTACAGTAATTTATTATGTTACTGTTGCCATTTAGTAATTGTGATGGTGTGTTAATGTGAAGCCTTTTTTCCCCGTTGTTAGATTGTGATGGTCCTATTGAAGTTTAGGTACATAGTATAAGATTTATTCAACAATCTCCCCTTGCACAACAGGAAATCCTAAGAAGAAAGTTAAGAAAAGCAAAGGTCGTGGCTTCGGCCACCCTCGCTTCAGCCAATCGTCAAGACAAAGCCAAGTTGATTGCATATTTAAATGAAATGAAAGAAGTGAAAGTTAGGATGTTTGTGGTGTTGAATTATAATGCTTAAGGTTAATTTGATGGACCGGCGTTTTAGGATATCCATATGGAGAACATCAATTTGTCTTCGATGGTTCTGTGATACTTTCATCTGGAAGGCACTATGCATGTCAAGTTTGATGCTCTTTTTGTATTTTAAAAAGGGACTCATTCATTTCTTTATAGGATGTTGCATATGTATACCTTTTTAATGCCTGGTACTCTATAATTACAGTATCTCATGGATTGTGGATTCTTTTCTTCTAATACATTTTTGATGTGTTATCTAAGTGAACTTCATTAATCCAAATCAAATACATCTAACATCAATACCTGTGCACTTAGCATTACTCATACACACCGAATGATGTTTTTTCCCTTTTCTTCTTATGTAGCACTTACATTGTAGGTAGTATTGTTGCCTATATTGCAACATATACAGATACATGTAGGTAGTAATATCGCCTATATTGATCAGTCTTGTTATTAACTTATTCATCTGAGTACCAACTTGGTTCTGGCAAACTTACTAATTTTTCATGTTTATGTGCGGCTTTTACCTTGATCATAAACAGAAGTATGAATAATCTGACCATACTTTTTATTTTGTTGAGAATGAATACTTATCATCAATATTTATTTATCAAATAATAACCTTCTATAATATTTAACAAGAAGCATGGTTACACTGACAACATATAGTACTACTTGCTATAAAACTTTTTATGTGCAGTTGTTGCCTTGGTCGTGAACAGAAGTATGAACAATCTGTGCGTACTTTTTCTTTTGTTGAGAAAGCATCAATATTTGTGCATCAAATAAGAAAGTTCTATGACATTTAACAGAGACATGGATATGCTGACAATATATAGTAATACTCACTAAAACTATGTTTCTACTAAACTTATCTATCTATGTAAACTAAGTTACTGGATAACTGATGAAGACATTTTGTGCATTGCTGATAAAATGTTGCAGATTTTATGCAATTCCTCTTCCTACAACAGAATTTAACAGAATGATCCGGAAAAAGGATAATGATGGCAACTACTCTGTCAGCTCTTGCTATAAGCTTTTAACCTTAAGCCCTCCTTCACATAACTGTCAATTGAACTTATATGGAAATGTATATAGGCTCTTTACTTCTAGCCCTCCTCTCCATAGTTATTGGTTTTATTTGAACAACATTGCACAATTATTGTCTGACAAAAAGTTATACCTTATGTAATAAATTTTAACTTTACTCCAGTAACTCAGAATACATAAGTTTCTCTTTGCATTGTCCCATAGCTACTCAACAATGCAAGTATTTTATCTATGTTTGTAGTTAAATGGAATCATGCCTGGTGATCCAAGAGGCGCTACCAGCAGTTTTCGGAACGAAGATAGGAACACAAGGATGTTCGAACGCAGTACCTGCTTGAATACTACGGGCAAGCTAGAAGAAACAAACTACTGATGTTCTGAAGTTGCAATATACACACGAGAATGCAAATACAGATTTGAAGATGCATCGGCGATATACACACGAGAAGGCAAATGTCTGCACCTGTTAACTTTTTGACTAACTTACAAGATGTATATAACTTACTACATAACATTTGGTGTTAATTAATAAAGTTGATCACGTATTCTAGGATTCTGTTGTTGAAGCGTCGGTCGTTGGCCCGTGCAGAACATCTAGTTTATATATATTATATATTATATAGAAGGGAGAGGAGGAGATCGACCAAGGGCATTATGGTCATTCAAAAATATAACTGCATTGTTTGCTTGTACAGTAGGCTTAAAAGCTTGGTTACAGCCTTTGGATTCCTAATGACCGAAGAAAACAAAATCAACGTGGCCTTAATCTATTGAATTAGTGGACCCCACTTCCCACTCAACCTTAACTTGCTTCTTTAAATGCATTACTTGACTACTTTTACTTTTTGATTTGTTTGAAACTAGATTATTTCTCTATTATCACTTTCACGGTTTAAAAATATTTTTTCAATAAGTATTTTTAACTAAAAGATTTATCTGTTAGGCAATTTATAATTTAAACGTTCATTTGATAAAAATATTTTATGGTAACATACATTTATATATAAAATTCTATTATCTTCTTAAGAAAAATTATTTCATTTGTTTTATTTACTAAATATTTTTGGTAAATAATATTTTTTTAAAACGTGGCGATGATTTATGTATATTTTTATTAAAATGTTCTTATATTAATATCAATTGATATCATTTTAAATTCTCATTAAATTGTAATTTCAATTGGACACTTTATAAATCAGGAAAAAAATATATTTAAGAATAAAATATAGTTTCAAGTACCATTTTTATTAAAGGATATTGAAATTTATTTAAATTATATAAAAATAATTCCCATTATAAAACATTATTTGAGAATAATCTAATTTGGTATTTTTTTTCTTTACTATATATTAGGCAGCATGAGAAGTATCATTTATGTGTGATTGTACTTCTTCTTCTATGACCAAAGCTAATCGGGTACTTCCTCTGTTTTTAATAAAGAATTCTACAATTATATAAATTTCAAAAATACATAAATAAAAAATTAATTATTTTCAGAAAATGCTCAACAAATAATTATAGTAAAGAAAGTAGTACTACACCCTAGAGAATCGATATCTCAATCACATCAAATGAAACTCGAAAAAATGTGTGATTGAAAATTGTATTTATTTTTAATGAATTATCCAAATATGTCTCTAGAATAAAATACAAATTTAGTTATTATTATTTTTTCAATAATTCAAAAATCACGATTATTATTTCAAAGAACCAAAAAAATATTTTTGCATCATCTATTTGGCAATAAATGAATATATTTTGTTATTCAAATTTGTATAATAAAAAAAGTAAAGCAATATATTAACACAATTGAAAATACTGAAAGAGCACATCTCAACTTATTTTTCAACTAACTTTTTAGTCATTTTTTTAAATCAATTTTAAGTTTGGTGGCATGGAAGTATTTGTTTAAATTAAAAAGTGTAGAACTTTTGTAAAAATACTCTAACTTGTACTTGAAGTATTGTATAATCTTTGTTATAATAAAGTGTCGGACTTCGACAAATATTATAAAGTAATTGTGAAAATACGATTTCAGAAAGATTAAAAATGTACGTAACGCAACACATAAAAAACAATATAGGTAAACATGATTATATTCTATATGTTATCACACAAAAACCTATTTTCTATCTTCTTTCCTTAAAGACGAATAAATGTGTAATTAGTAATAGATCAAGAAATATTAAAAGGAAGAAAACAAGAAAAATGAGGGGCTTTTAAGTTTTAGCTCGCGCCAGAATTATATTCGATGGCCGAAAAAGTGTATAGTGTTTGTGTATAACATATATATAATTATATATATACACACACAAAATATATATACAAAGAAATACATTTTTGGGTTAATATTTTGATAGTGACTATACAATATTATTTTTCCACAAAAAAAAAAGCAATAATTGAGTTCGCGCATCGCACGGGTATGCCATCTAGTACTAGGAATAAAGGCATGTGATATAGTGTTATAGAGCTGGCAAGACCACAAGCAATTATTCCTATCCTATTGATGAAAAATAAAAATAAAAAGAGAAGATGGCAATGATTTCTTTTGGTACACTAAAATGAAACAAAAAAAAAACTAAATATTTTATTTTTATTTCATCACCGTTTTCTCTGGTTGGCATTGACCAACCAATCAACTGATCAAAATTGTCTTTTTTTTCTTTCAAAATTGTATTTTAACTATATTATCTGCCTTTAAAATATCATCTTCAGATATAAAATATGGAACCCTTCAAACGCTTAAATAGTCAAATACCGCCATAGGAAAAATGATATTGTATAGCTACATTCAAAATAATAGTCAATATATATATATATATATATATATATATATATATATATACATTGTGTATGTTATATACAAAAAATATAAATTTTATGCACTTTTTCGGCTACCGAATATAAATAGTTTCTGGTGCAGGGTAAAGTAAAAAAGATCCTCTATTATATCCAGAATTGGTTAAAGCACCGTCCATAATTGTAAAATTAAATATGCATACTTTACTCCTATCTTAAGGTAGAAAGGCTGTTTTAGATAAACTCTAGGCAAGACTCAACTCTAAGGAAAAATAATATGATAAAAATATTAACCTCCATGGCATTAGTATAGCTATTTGCTAGTGAATGTATTCTTCAAAAAAATTCTTACAAAAATATTAGCATTAACATAGTATTGTACACACAAAAAAAAAATCAAGTAGATTTAAAAATAAAAATGCAGATCATTATGCAAGGAATACACCAATTAAAATGACTTGTTTCTGGGGTGGCAGCTAGGGTTGATGTATTAATATTTCCATGGCAATTATAATGACTGTCTTGTATATTATTTAGACCAAAATGACTTTGATCATTGCCAAGGTCCAGTTGTAATGAATTGCTCATTGATTTCAAGATTCAACTAATAATTTACAAATTAAAAGAGAAGATTTAAAAAATGACTTTATTTAATTCCTTGGAACGGTTGCTGGCACACTATATTATATAAAATTCGCTTGGTTCACGTTAAGTTGTCTTAATTCATAGAATGATTGTCATGTGCATACATCATGTCTAATAATTCATTGCTTCTCTTCTAAATTTATTTATTGGATTTCTGTAGCCATAGTAAACAAAACATTTATTTTATTGCATGGTATGGACCAAAATGTAGAAGTTCTATGGCCAGAAAAGGACAAAAACAGAAACATATTGCGATGTATATGTCTCATGTTTGTCTTAGCTTACTTCAACTGAACGCAATTTGCCAAATCAATTGTATCCCAATTAAGTATATAATTAAAAAAATTAATTGTACTCGATGTTTGTATCAAACGTAGAATTTAATCTTACCAATCATAAAAATAGTTTAGAATTTGTAGTACTTAATTATGGTCAAGTGATAAATTTGTACAAAAAATACATTTTCCTAATAATTTATTTTTTTTATTTTTCACCAAATGTTTAGTGTCCGCTTTGGAACATCAACTAACTTAAATTCTCGCCGTGTAAAACTCATCAAAGGAGGAAGCGCTCCATTATCCATATACCAGGATTTTTTCTTCCCCAAAGGTCGAACCATATCTTGTATTAATTGATTTGGAGCAAATGCCAAATACTACTAAAAAAAATTCGCTAATTGATTTGAAGTCGTTATTTTAAAATTCAGATACGTAGGATTAAAATCTTGTCTCCGACTCTAGTTTTGGTAGCTAAAACATTTGTCAGTGAAAGTGATTGAACACCACTAAAGTTAGGCTGATTCATTTTCTTTTACCAATGTTTTGCCTGCCATTTGGACCGTTATACCAATTCTAAAACTATATTTTGAGAAGATTTTCTCAGTTACTATTCAGTGGAGTAAGAAATTGACAGTACATGCAATTAGAAAATTAGAAGGACTTGTTTAATTGGGCCCCTAAGATTTCAATTTGTAAGGACTTGCTAGCAAAATAGGTGCAGTTGACACTTTATTTTTCTTGGTAGTTGACACTTGACAGTGTGTAAAGTTAAAAAGAGAAATTTGAGGGTTAATTGGTAGGGGCCTGCCTGAATTCATGTGATATTCTAACCTTTTGCACTCTCAATTCCCTGTTTAAAATGCAATCTAGAATCTTCACTTGTCGGCACGTTATCACAAATTAAATTATCATAGTAGTATTAAAATCTTTATAATGTATATTACTTTAGCTCATATAAAAAAGAAAGATGGAAATTACGCATTTTATACATAGGATAGAATGAGATGTATAAAGCTTTGTGCTGAGTTTAACCGGTCTAAAAACACTCTTAAGATGGTGTGATAGTGTCCGTTTTGGGTAAGCACATACGAAGTTGGTCTCACACCATTAAGAGATTCATACACCTTATATGTAGATTACCAATTTTTTTAGCTACCAATGTGGAATTTTGTTCGGACACCCAACAATCTCCCCCTTGAAATAAGTTCTACATGGTCCACTACCATGATCCACGGGTCTCCCCTCTAGCTGAGTTCCACGGGTCAATTTCTAAGATTTATTGTGTGCCGCCCACATCGTTAGAGTATTTATGGCAACTGAAGCCAGCAACTAACTTCTTTTGTGTGCATACCGAGCCTCACATCTAATACCAGTTGATATGTTCAACCAGCTCAAAGATACTCTTAACATGGTATGATATTATCTGTTTTGGGCCAAACCCGCACGATTTTCCTAGAAGGCCTCACAGCATGTTAAGATTTTCCTAGAAGGCCTCACAATCTTAACGGTGTGAGGTATTTTAGGGAAATCATACAAGCTTTGCCCAAAACGAATAATATCGCACCATATTAATAATATGTTTGCGCTAGTTAAGTCCAACATCTTATTTATTTATTTATTTGTTACAAGACTGTTTTCTTCCATTTGCTTCTATTTAAGACTTTTAGTTTTCTTCCCACTCTACACCCATCCACCAATCTCAACAAGAAACAAGTGATACAGTAAATAATACTAGTTTTCACGAGATTAATGCTATAGTTGTACACCGTGGACTTAAAATTGTAGTCACGTAGCTCAGTAGAAAGAAAATTGAGAGAAAAGTCTAATTTCA